TGCTTACCAAATCCCCTAACCAACATTTACTTCTTAAATATTACTAAAAAATAATTAAGCAACCCATAATGGGTACTTAGGATAATGTTACTATGTTCCCTTCCATTGGTTTTAGTCTTTTCTAAAAGGCATAAAAGTGGGCTTTATGTTCTTTTGTTGTTGTTTCAAATCCTAAACAAGGCTGGAGTTTTATGTTATATATATTAAATGGATTTACCATTAACGATATCATAATGGACTCTAAAAGCACCTCCAATGAGGTTCTATCCAATTTTTCTTTTTAAATACATAAAATACATATGTATATACTGTATATATATGTATATAGTTATGAGCTTATTATTTTTGGAAAACCTCATCCTCAATGTTCTTAAGGTTTTAAAAACTTTCAGGATAGAGTTCTCTACAAAATAGACCTCACAACTACATAAACATTATAATATATATATATATATATATATATACATATGTATTTTAAGAACTTCAATAGATAGAACCTCTTATTGGAGATGCTCTAACGATTTATCATATTGATTGTAACTGAATGTCATTTATGAGTAAATATTTAAAGAGAAAACATCTTTACTCTTGATTACTGCAAAAAAGTTACCAAACAAATAAACACATCTTCACTTATTTCTTTTAGTTACTATTCAGATGGAGAAAAAGCAAGAAACATATTTACTCTCACATACATTAGAATAATTCTTTTCCAGTTTTTGCTATTTTCCATTTTATTTTTTTTAATCTTTTTTTTCACCTATCTAAATTTTCCTATTTACTGTAAAATAACCAATCACACCCATTGTATAGGTCGAGACACATTCATTCCAATAGATAGAACCTCTTATTGGAGATGCTCTAACGATTTATCATATTGATTGTAACTGAATGTCATTTATAGAGTAAATATTTAAAGAGAAAACATCTTTATTCTTGATTACTGCAAAAAGTTACCAAACAAATAAACACATCTTCACTTATTTCTTTTAGTTACTATTCAGATGGAGAAAAATCAAGACACATATTTACTCTCACATACATTAGAATAAAATTTTTCCAGTTTTTGCTATTTTCCATTTTATTTTTTTTAATCTTTTTTTCACTTATCTAAATTTTTCTATTTACTGTTAAATAACCAATCACACCCATTGTATAGGTCGAGGCACATTCATTTCAAATCAAAGAAATAAGCCAAAATGAAATATGTTTCGGTTTGGGTTTAGATCCTATCATTATATGAGCTTATCCTAAATTTTTAAAACCAAAAATCCCAACTGAACCGAAAACGAAATGTGTATCCAAATTCTGTAATATAGCTTATATATTTATTATTATTAATTATATTTAGTTTTAAAATAATTACATAAATTTAAAATATTATTTACAAAGTGAAATATCTACAAAATGAATTACCACAATATTTTTTATCCGAAATATTTTAAATTATATAAATTCTCCTTCGAACCCCCCCCCCTCTCCCACAAATCTAATATTTAATTTTAAAAACTCAATTTTTTTTTGAATTTTTAATCCATATAAATCAAAAATTGGAAAATAAGTGGAAGCATGGGATCTGAAAATTTCCCAGATATTAATTCTTAACATTACTTGAACCAAACAAAAAAATAAAAAAGTAAATCAAGATCGAACCGACAACCAAATGTAAAAGACTAAAATTATGGTAATGTAAAAATAGATTTTCTAAGAAAACATAAAATAAAAGACGAGCTGCCAAATGCCAATATCTGAAGTTTTCTTGCATTTATTCAAAATATCACATCACTACAATAGCCTTTTCTTGTAACAGTTTGTGGCAACACTCTATTCAACCTGCGGTGCATTTTTTTGCATTATTTGCCATATATCTGAATGAGACGTTTCGAGCAGTCTTATTGGTAAGGTTATCGAAATTCTAATTCAATTTATATTAGTATTTTAAAAGTAGCTGTATTTATTTTTTGAGCAAATTTTCTCAATATACCAAAAGAAATTTAATATTAGGGATTTGCCATAGTTTTGATGGAAAAATAGTGAGAGGGAGGAGGAGAGATAAGAGAAAAAGAAGATAAATAGTTAATTTAGGGGTTTAGTTTATGTATGGGATGCAAATTCTTTTTATTTTAATTACATTTAAGCTCCCGGTGACCATATTTTAGGGAAAATAATGATGAATTCTTTGTTCTTCTAAATTTTTACCAATCATGTTGGTTTTTTTTGTCAATTTTATTATAGGGTGACTTTTCTAAATATTCATAGGAGATTGAAAAACGAAGAATATAGCCATGTCCTGAGAAATGTGTCAAGTTGTTACATAATTAGACATTATTATCCTTCGCAGCGCGTGAGTGTATGTATTCACACGCTTCAACTAAATACTATTCTATTTATATTGCGATATAGAACAATAATAAAGAACAATTTGATCTCTTTAGTACTTATATTAAAGAACAATTTGATCTCTTTAGTACTTATATTTATTTACAGGATTCAATGCAATTTAAGTAAGAAATAATATAAAAAAACATATTTATCCGTAGAACAAATAAAATAGATGATGTGAAACAACATATTTAGTTGGTAAATAATAAAATATACCATTCTATATTTTATAAATATGTAGTATAGTATATGAACATATCTATGAAAAAAATATATGAGAAGTAAGGATGGAGGAATAACGTAAGGATGAAGATGATGAAAAAAGTGAAGGAGTTCACATAATAAACTAGAAAAAGGAACGAGATGAAGAATATCAAATAAGTAAAAGAATATAAAGAAAATGTTAGGATGTTGAAGAATAAAAAGGGAAAGAGGATGAAAGAAAGGATGAGGAGAGAGGAAAAAAGAAAGGGAGAGAGAAATAAAAAAGGTTAGAGAAAGAAAAAACTGTAGAATTTCAATTATATTTTAAACTTCGAAAATAAAATTGCATATAACATTTGAAAATTACATATTAAAAAGATAAAAAAATATGAAAAAATGAAGTGAAAGACGGAAAAAAAAAGAGAGAAAGAAAAAGAAAAAAAGGAAGAGATGGAGATGGAGATTGGGAAAACACATAAGATAAGGGATAGAAAAAATAGAATGAAAAGATGAAAAAGATAAATTTTCTCATTACTATTCTATTTAGTTTTTTTTTCACTTCATTTTTTAAAAAATGAAGTGAAAGACGGAAAAAAAAGAGAGAAAGAAAAAGAAAAAAAGGAAGAGATGGAGATTGGGAAAACAGATAAGATAAGGGATAGAAAAAATAGAATGAAAGGATGAAAAAAGATAAATTTTCTCATTACTATTCTATTTAGTTTTTTTTTAAATAGAATAGAACAAAATTTTATTATGACTGTATATAATTAATTTTATACATATATGTTAGTTTTATAAGATTCAAAACATTTCATATACGAAAAAAATCTATGCTTTTAATATGTATATAACAAATTCAAATTATAATTTTCAAACTTGTAAAGTTAATTAAAATAGAGAAGAGAAAGTGAGAAAGAGTAATATGGCAAAATAATACATAAATATCATAGCTTACTTATTGTTATGGTTATAAACTTAATTTTGATTTTATTATGTACATGAATCCAAATTTTCCTTCATTATATATAGGCCACTGAATTCCTCTATTTTCTTTAAGTTTAGATGAATTAATGAACAAAATGATTATTTCTAAATTTTGACGAAAAACAAATGAAATATATTTTTTAAAAATTATTCATAGTCATTCCTTTTTTTTATATTTATTCATTTTCTCATAGAAAATGGTTATTTATTTTTCCATTTCTTTGATTCATCAAAATGTCACCAATTGGAGCTTTAATATTTTCTAAAAATCAAACCACTTACAAATTGACATCTAGAAAAAGAGTTTCTCATGAATATTTAAAATATATTGCCTTGAGATATTTAGGATTCGATTTTTGCCCTTTTAAGATATTCATAACTAAATATTATTAATTTTACATATTTTAAAATTTTGTCTATCTTAAATTTTAAATTTTGTTGAACAAACCATTTTGGATAGTTTTTAAAAGTTAAAGACTGAAATGGCTTTCAACTAAAATTGAAGGGTTTTCTTTTGTGCAAGTTAAAGGTTTCTTTTAATGTTTTCTCCAAGTTTTAACAAGGTAAGATACGATTTAGGGACCAAAATTTGAAGATACTTGCTTCATGGACCTTAGCCACATGAAAAAGTGAAGCCCAATAAAGGCCTCATGATTAAGAATACATCTACTTTTATTTATGCTCTATCAAAAACAAGTCACTATCTACTATAGAATAAAGTTTTGATAAAAGATTTAAGTGATCGTGATAGAAAAAAAAAAAAAAAAAAATATATATATATATATATAAAAGAGCTAGAGTTATTCTAGGTTCACTAATATTATACTAACTAATATGATGATGTTATTTTATATCTGATATCTTTTTAAAAAGAAAATAAAATCTTGTTAAGTTATATTATGTTCTTAAAATAAAGAAACAAAAAATAAATAAAAAATAATAATATTTACAAAAAACGAAAAAAAAATCTTAAAAAATATTTAAACACTAAAACACTAAACCCTAAACCCTAATCCTAAACCCTAAACCCTTAATAAATCATAAACCCTTTAGAAAAAACTTAAACATTAAATCAAAAAAATCAATACTAACCAATTATACTGTTTTATTTATTTTTATATTTTTTATTTTAAAAACATAATATAATGTAACAATATTTTTTTTTCATTTTAAAGATATAGTAAAAGATTTTTTATAAAATCCTTTTTTTTTGCGATTATTACTTTTAAAATAGAAACAGAATATAATGTTAAAATATTTATTTAACTTGTGTTAAAAATATAATATAATGTTAAAGTATTTATTTTTATTTTAAAAACATAACATAATATAATGTTAAAAATATATCTTAACAAAATTTTATTTCCTTTTTAAAAAATATCAAATATGAAATAACACCATCTTATTGGTTAGTGAACCTAAAGGTTCTAGAATAAATCAAAGATTTAAGTGACTTCTTCATTGAAGGTTTGGTTCTTGAAAGATTCCCAAAAGTCTAGATGTAAGGAAAACACAATCGCAAATTATTACATTACTCACTGCTTTTGTTCTCGTTGTTGAAACAATAGACTGGAGCCTGCCATTTCCCGTCCTCTAGGACAGCTCCAACCTCAAATGTCATCACATGAGCTTCTCTACCTGCAATTATCTTTCAATAATCTGGTTAATATGACTGAGAGATCATGTTAAGTAAGACGTAAGTCTTTAGTATTATTATATTATAGTATTCATCACTTTTTCACCTGTATAGAAGATCCATTGTACAGGTCTCTTGGTTACAACATCCTCGTAGTACCATAAGAAGTCAACCTTCTCCCATACGTTGCAGAGAAACCCACTCACATTTCGTTGACCCAAATAGGTTGCTCCATCCAGCCAGTTTGGCCTCAAGATTCCCACCTTGATGGAGTTAAAAATAAAATTTCAAAACTAGTCTCAGCAACTTACTAGAACAGTTCTGTTTTTAAAACCAATAAAGATCTACAAAACCGATTGTGCATGATCATTGCCTATGCTCAACTTAAACCTAGGCATATACTCGATTGTATTAGTCCAGAACACCCAATGCCCTGCTCACAGTGCATGCATTCCCATTGTACCTCACTGCAACTTATCATTATGATCATCACTTGAGTGGATTGTTAATTTCAGGTGAATATAGGATCTCATCAACCAAAAAACATTACATGATGTGTTCTCACATTGACACGAAAACGGTGTATATATACTGATATGTATGAAGGAAGAGAGGCTAGAACGAGAGAAAACTCCAAACGGTTACAATTTAATGAAATGAAGTAACCACTCTCTACAAAACACAAGACAGACTCTCCAGGTTTCTAATAATCCACATTACTCTACAATAGTCATACTTATAAAAGGTTAATAATTAAGAAAACACTGACCTCGAAATAAACGGTGCGGCAAGTTTTGGAAGCGTCAAGTGTATAGTAGAAAGATGTGCCGTTGTTCCATTCAAGGTCGTAGGTTAGTTTGCCAAGCTGCTTCTGAATGATGTTAAAATTACGGCCATTGACCCAGTCGTACCATAGGTCAACAATCTCAATGGAACCAGATTTGTTCATCATCATCAACGCGTGGAACTGCTCCGGCCATGGCGCAGGAACAGGCTGGGTCTCCGGTTCATCAGCGACAGAAATTTTAACTCCGGCGGAGAAGACGAGGAAGAGAAAGATGATGGAGTGGAATAGTGTCGAAACCATGTCGATTGGTCTAAGGCCACGCTCTGGTTCACACAGATTATGATAACTCTGAAGTCACAGTAACTGTTGAGATATCTTTCCACGGTTGGTGGGATATTATTAAATAATAGTATCCATATAAATAAATATTATATTTCAGTAGTTTTCTGTTAAATAATTTTCAAGGTACTAAGTGAGTTTTTTTGCAATAACAAAATCTATACTATTAAAGTAGAATTCCTAACAGAATTTTACCCTTAATTTTGCTAAATGTTTACAATAGCATGCCATCACTTATTTTTCTAAATATTTATTTATTTGAATTTCACAGTAAAATTAAACATTTAGAAACTAACGATAACCTAATTATACGGCTGCTGTCCTTTTCTTTTTCTATCTTCTTCACTTGCTCTTCTTTTTGGTTGAGGCTATCTGTGGGAGAGATCCGAAATAGCTCATCCGATGGAATAGCTGTAGTCATGGAGTAAAACTTATGGCCTAAAGTTCATTAAAGATCCATTTTTCTCTACAACAATCTCATCGATGACAGACAATATCATCAAGAATCAAAGGAAAAGAGGGATATAAATAAAAAGAACTTTGTTGAATGGCTTTTTGGAATTGCAAGATTTAAGAAAGAAGATGAACGCGATCAAGAAGTTAAATGATCTTGATTTCATAGCATCTTATTATGGATTCGGGTATTATGAAATTTCTGTCATAGAACCATCAAAAAAAATTTAATTGTTTGATATTATGGATCTCGAAAGATTTTGATTGGATTTTCAAATCTTGGTTTACTATTTCAACTATTTTTTTATTGTTTCACTATGCAGAAATTAGGCTTTGATTTTCATAGGATTTGGTTACTCCTGAATGCTCCGGAAAGGTTTTGAAATCTCTCATCCACCACCTCCATCGCTTCTGCAGTTTCCAAACAGAGGTCTTCACACTCTGTCTTTTCCAGAAACAGCGGCCAACCCGCAGACGCTTTCGTCGCAACTATCTGCAGAAGTTTGTGTTTCTTCCTCTAAACCTCCACGCCACCACGTCATAACAACCTCAAGTAATGAAAAGAAAACCTTCCTCTACTTCTGTCTCTTGATTTTTCTCAGCTAAGACCATTAGATAAAGATGGAGCTCCATTACCTAAGTTGAAACCAATTCATTGGGATAAATTCAGGGCTACACTCAACTGGACTATGGTCTGTGGTGATAAGCTCTGAACAAGTTCTTTTGAGTAAATTTACAACTTGCTTTAGTCCTTAGCTACAATTAACAAAAGCTTTAAAGAATGTGTGAAATGTATTTGTATTGTCGATACACAGATTGGACGAAGAGATGATCAGGTTGCTATTTGGATACACAATGTAAAGCTCTACAAAGAACGAAGAAGGGAACTGCAACACTTCATCCCCAGGAAAACACCTTCTTGAACCAAAAAAACTTCAGAACTTTACCCTTCTCTTGAAAGCCCTTAATGTAAATAAAATCTGATCTGCTTTGGATAAAGATAAGCCAAGATGAGCTCAAATCGATCTGTTGCGGATTGATCTGATTTTAAACTTTTCTTTTGTTTTACGGGAAGTGTTGTGTTTACAAGAACTAGAAGCATTGGTGAAGATGGTACCAACTAAAAAAGAAGAGTTGAAGTTGTGTAGCTACAAAGGAGTAGTAGATGAGCTTGGCTCTACTGAGAAATTTCTGAAGGCACTGCATTTGTAGTGGTCGTAGTACCATTTGCATTTCGAATAGCTGAAGCAATGCTTTATACAGAGACGTTTGAATATGAAGTGGTTCATCTCAGAAACTCCTTCTCAGTGCTTGGGGTATTACAATATTCATTTGTTAATTCTTGCGTTACAAGGTAGGATGATTAATACATAGGTACATAACTAGGAAGCTTGCAAGGAACTTAAGTCAAGCAGGTTATTCATGAAGCTTTTAGAAACTGTCATTAAGACTAGGAACAAGATGAATGTAGGAACCATATGTGGTGGCGCAAAGCCTTCGAGGTTAACGCTCTGCTCAAGCTCTCTGATGTGAAGGGCACAAATGGGAAGACAACTCAACTCCACTTTGTCATGCAAGAGATATCCTGTGATATTATATATTGATTTATTTGAGTTATATAGCAACTGATTTGTTAGAGATTTAAATGATTTTCTCTATTTGTAAAACTATATTTATTATGTATTCGGTGATTAACAGCATGAATCTATATATTTCATTTTTACTAATCGATTTAGACATTTATTAAGGAATATTTTCATAGTAAATACTCCTTCTTTCATTATAAATGTCATTTAGAGTTGTGCACACGAATTAAGAAAACAATTAATTTTGCATATTTTCTATATAAAAACACAATTACCTATACACCTAACTACATTTAACCAATAGAAAAATAATTTACATAATAAACTTAATAAATTTTACATTAAAAATTGAAAATGACACTTATTTTGTAACGAAAAAATTTCTTTACGACGACACTTAATATGAAACGGAGGGAGTACTGAATTAGTTTTTAGTGTTTAGAATTTTGTAAAATTATAGATGATTTGAGATTAATCTTACCTATAATATGGAAAGCTTATGCTCATAGTTTATTTTAATATAGATTTTCTTTTCTTATTTGGTTTTAAAGTTTAAATTTGATTGAACCAAGTACTAACCATAAATATTTATAGTTCACATTAAAATGACATTTATATTAATTTTTTTTTCATCAACTACATTTATCTTAAATTTAATATCATATTTGGTTTAGAAATCGAATGAACCAGTCGTCTAATCTAAGATATTGAAAGCGTGTGAAAATTTTTTGAATACAAAATCTTTATGTAATAATCTGCTCATTATAGTTAACATTTGGACTTAAACATTTGAGCTTTAAGTTTCTTATCAGATGGAATAAATTTCTGAGTGAAAAATATCTTATTTAATAAAACTATAATTTATGTAAATAATTTTTTATTCTAATATTTTCTATTTAAATCTTAAATGGAAATTATTTTTTCGTTTAGTAGGTGGGAGGGAGTTTGAGACATCATCATGGGTCGGATAATAAAAGATCAAACAAAATCAGAATAGCTGAAAGAGAAGGAGAGTTATAAATGTAACTTACTTCTTCTCAAACAATCATACTTCATAGCTAAATTGTCGTGCAGGTTCGTAATAACGTAAGGAAATTTTTCAAATTAGGGGTCTTTATATATAATGAGAAAAGAATTTCTTGAAAAAATACCCAACTTAAGAATAGAATTCAGGTTAAAAACCTATTAAACACACCAAATTCATTATAAAATGCTTGATTTTTAGTAAAAAAGCAGCCCCTAAAATCTATAAACATTTTGAGACATGAGACGAAGGACTTTTTTGAATACACAGTAAGCACGCTTCTACAACTAATGGAGGTTTGTAAAACAAGAGACATCAAATTTTGTTGGTGGAATGTAAGAAGTTAATAGGATCAGAAAATATATTATGACATGATGTATTAAGATTTATCCTTGGGTTTCTCTATTTTTGAAAATATTAATTAAATACACATATGATCTTAAAATCTCTTTTGTATTAGATTATCAAAAGAACAAATCATTCACTTTTAACTGAAAAATATGTGTATTATATCACTATACAAACAAAATTACTTATAAATAACTAAATTCAAAGATTTATGTTAACTAAACAAAATTTATTGCATCTAAACTGAAATAATCAAAACGAAAGTTAAACCGAAATAAACAAAACGAAAGTTATCTTGCGCTTCTCTAGTTACATTTTAAAATAAGATCAGTAATAAAAAAAAAGAGAACTAATTATTTTTTGTAGAAAAACTTATAGAGGTATCTTATTTTTTATAGCCTTTTTAGTTTCTAATCACAAAAACACTTTTTTAAATCATATTATATTGTTGTTCACCTTGCAAAAACATGTGAACTCTTGATGTAACAAATATTTTTTTGATCATAATGTGAATGAAGTAACTAAATAGAAGTCGAAACTGTGAACACACCAATATGCGCTGAAAATATTAGCAACTTTTCTTCCTATTCATGTAAATAATTTTTTTCTGGATTAGCAATAATTTAAAACTTGATAAGAGGAAAAAAAGAAAGAATAGTCACTACATCTACAATCTTTGAGTGAAGAATAACTCGGCAAAGCGGTTCTTGGTCTCCTTTGGACAAGCCAACCAACTAGTCCTCTTTAATAATCTCTCATACTCACCAAAACAAATTAAGAAACCAAGATAAAAAAAAAAAGAAACACCAAAGAACTGTAAGAGTTCAAGAAACAAGTAATAGTTTGATCAAAAGCTTTTCTTGCATGAGTGATTAATTATATTTTAATCCTTAAACATAATCCCATAATAACCTCTTAAATACCCATCAACAAGACTATTATTCTTCATCCTAAATTCAACTCACATGTCATCTCCAATGGCTTCGTTTGCTCTGTTCCTCTCCACTCTCATTGTCCTATCAAGTAAGTCTCACTGCAATTGTATTATCAAGCACACATCACTTACCATAATATTGTCTTCTTCTTACAGGTTCTTGTTGCTACGCAATTGGTAACAACAAAACGCTGTCATCACTTGCAAGTAGAATTGGGATAAACTATGGAAGATTAGGAAACAATCTCCCATCTCCTTACCAATCAATCAACCTCATCAAATCCATTAAAGCAGGCCACGTCAAACTCTACGACGCCGATCAAGAAACCCTAACGCTCCTCTCTAAGACCAATCTTTACGTCACAATCATGGTCCCTAACAACCAAATCATTTCAATCGGCGCCGACCAAGCCGCCGCAGACAACTGGACCAACACCAACGTCCTTCCTCACCACCCACAAACAAGAATCAGATTCATCCTTGTCGGAAACGAGATCCTCAGCTACAATACCGACCAAGACAAGCAAACGTGGGCCAACCTTGTCCCGGCGATGCGTAAGATCGTGAATTCTCTTAGAGCAAGAGGGATTCACAACATCAAAGTCGGAACACCACTCGCCATGGATGTTCTCCGATCAAGTTTTC